GGCAAACGGTAGCTAAAAACAACCGACTGTCATGAGTGTCGGCCGCAGTTAGCAGGGAATAGGGCGAGCAGCACTGAAGGTGGCGATTTTGGCATGCATTCGCCTCGAGGCACTTTATTTCAGTTCAAAATCTGTGCCAGTCTTAAGTCGGATATCGCCCGCTAACGAGAGTAAAGTGGCGAAAACAAGAGCCAGTCTAACTGATACAATTCTTCGCAGAGATATAATGGCTTTTCGGTCACAACAACCATGGCTCAGTAGCGACTGGTTTAAAATGTTTCGACGTCAGGAATCGCAGTGATTCCTTCCGTCTTTTGCGTAACTGCACTTGGAACTTTTGAGATTATCACCGAAAAGGCCTTGGTTAAACTAAATTCTCAAAACCCTTCGGTGAGCATGCACATAGTAGTCTACTCATTGGAAAGGCAAGGCATATGTTTATCATGTAATTCTGTTAGTATCCAGAATAAGAGTTAGGGAGCGTCACAAAACTTTAAAAATAGGCCTTGTCAGAAACATTTTGTTCAATCAATTTCCGCTGGCAGCATACGGGCATTTTCGGATTGAAAAGGCCAAGAGGATGGCTTTTAATGTATAGAACATGCAAACCGATTTATCCTACCAAAAGTACTGCTGGTCAGCGATGAATGCACGAACGGTTCAGAAAACGCAATGATATGCACAAAATATGTGCTGGTTGCGACAGTGTAGGAATTATTTCTCAATACGATAGAAAAAGCTAGTCTGTGACACCCAATTTACTCCTAACGAAGGAGGAGGCGGTAGTCGTAGCGATATCTTCAAGTACTTTATAAATAGCCTGCTCCCCACTGACCGACAAGAGGCATTTTAGGGACACTCGCACCTTGATCTACCCCCCAAGGAACATTAAAGTATATTTGAGAATTTTATGATATTAAGACGCCCATAACAAAGGTTATTGTAATAAGACGCCCACGCGAGATCTTTCGAGACAGTCCGCTGAGAAACAAACTGGATACCGACAGTCCAGAGGTCACACTAACTAATCGAAGCATTTCATCTTTCTGACTGGATGAGGGGCGACTAGGGATTTTATCATCCTGAAAGCAAGCATGTCCCAATATAAAGTGTTCGTGTCGACCAAATGGTTGTTCTGCTAAGCCTTAAAGTGAAAAGCTTTTTCACTTTAAAACTTTTCCGTGATTATTCAAAAATTATAAAGTAAAACATGGGGCGCGCAGATTGTTTCTTTTCTTGTATTTTAACCAAGTCTACGGTTGGATGTGTGCATATGCAAACTGGATTTCCTCACCGAAGTATAAGAACTCTTTTAATGCGACTTAAACGCGGAAAATAAAAGCATAAAGCAAACAGAAGGCCAAGTTACTTCCCTAAATAAAAAGACTGACGCCTTACAGCCAAACGGGTTGAAAAAGTCTTGGTCACATGAATCTCATGAGTGTACGGTTCACTTCTTAAATACCGAATATCTGACGCAGGTAGTGATTGGTGGTCGGAACACCTCACAGAAATGTCTACGGGGCGTCTTGTGAGGACGCTTTTAAGCAAAAAGCTGAACCCTATTTGTTTCCTGGCTTGTGTGGTTGAGTACGATTGGAAAAAAAGCTATTTTTGCTCGACATAGGAAAGCGTTCTTTTGATATCTTACTAAAGAAAGAGCGATCGAATAAACTTCGTAGCAAGCTACTAATTTCGGTATACAAGATCGCCCGCATCTCAGATGGCTTGGCAAAATAAGGGCGAACCAAACACATGTTCAGTCATGATTTTTGAAAAGGAAGTGCGGTTGTTCCATACTTAGTGTGAAACTTCAGTATTAGACTCGAGAGCTCATCTGAACAGGTTTTTAGACCTGGGACGTAAGTTCTATCAACATTGGTGATTCAGGACTGTCGTTCGAGTCACCAATTTATAAGAACAGCAATGGAAAGCTACGGTTCGGTAGCTCGGCGGGCAACGCCTCATTAATGTAAATCTAAAAGAATTGTACATGCACGCTTATCTATGCTGTGTTTGGTAAATCATTAGTAATTATGTTCCTCTAAAAAACAGTAGTGAACTCGAGTAACACTCTACCGATCTCGTGGACATCAAACCTCAGGCGATTTTGACGACAAGATTTACTCCTGAGAAATTTCAGTTGACTAGACGCTGAAAGCCACGCAGGCTAAAAGCTTCAGGTAGGATACACTGGCTATTGTGCACATTTTTTCGGGGTCAAATGATGGCCGCAATTAATAGTAATGAATGTCAATCCAAAATACAGGGGAAAGCCAGAGACGGCAATAAACGGCGGAAAGTTTCCCAAGTGTTATGTTGAACTGCTATTAATTGGCAGGAAGAAACACATTCAGGTTTTTTAGTGCGTAGGAGGATGTTCAGACTGGCTTGTTGGGGTTTATTTCACCCTGCTTGCAAGGATCCATAAAAATCTTGCACCGACCGTGTAGAGTCTGTAATGGGGGCGTTTTTACGGGGTGTCTCGTTTATTTTTCGAACACATGTGTATCGAGATACTGCTCAGATTGTTTGGGGCTGTCTCCTTCGTGAACCTCACCGCAATACGGTAATGCCATGCAACTTGAAGTAGTGACGGCTGGCGGTCGCTGTTTCACAGTGCCAAAATCATTTGATACACTTGAAAGGTATGTGGCGCGCCACGCTTCAGTCGTCTGCACCTAGGTAACATGACCATTGTTAGATCACAAATGTTTATTTATAAGATCCGAAATATTGCTGAATTGCCAGTTAACCTTCGATGAAGATCGTTCCACTACTCGCCACTCACGGATAAGTAGTGGTCAGTAATTAGGCCAACGAATAAACCTGTCCTGACTGTACTAACATTTAAGCAGTACAGTAAAGGCGCTGTCTGAATCTATAACGCATTAATCGGACTCCGCATCTAGGTTCCAGGCACAAACAAAGCGTCTATACGTCAAGAGTGCCATTGATGAAGAAATTGGGCTAAAATTGCATCTATAAGTGTCGCACACGTTTTACTGACGCGTGAACCGGTAGCCGGACGTTACCAAATCCGCGATTAATGAAGTGCACGCCTCAATTCTGGACAGATGATGTATGCACCTGGTTTACTATGGTTACTCACAAATGCTAATGAAGTCTATAAATGCTTGTATTGTTATCGTTCGAGTATTTGGATAATAAGGAGGGAAGAAGTAGCAAATCGTCAGAGAAGTGTGAATATTTTGCAAGTTGTGCGAGATAAACGACATTTTGCTGTAAAGGCCTACTTCAGACAGCCCAATAAACACTCAAAATATAGATATACTCGGTAAAAATAGATTAGAGATCCGACCAAGCATATTGGATCCTGCTCGTGAGTGACTACCGCAATAAGCGTTGTGCTGGCATCAGCAGAATGGCTCTGACCGTCTGCAGAAACAAGGCTTGCTAGTAATAAGGAAGGCGATACTTGAAAACGAATTGGAACTTTTCAAGTTCACACGACCGAGTTTATTCGTCCTAAACTGTCTTGCAAAACTGGCGTAGGCAGCAAAACCTAGAGCACACCGTCGGAAACAGCTGATTTGAGTTGATTCATATCCCTTACGAAACGTTGCAATCGGATGGACTGGTGTTCCTTGTTGAATCCTGAACTAATGTCGCTATTATCCGTAGAACGGTATATAATGTTGCGAAGCATTTTACCTAGCCTATTGGGCGTTCTACGGATCAACCAGGCTACGTGACAATATGTCACAGGCATGCAGGCTGTTGTGCCCCACTTATTTAAAATGGTAGTCGAGGTTTAAAAGTTGGATCTTCGAAAGCAATAGTGGGCTTGAAATGTGATAGTGAAATTTTGTAGTCGTGACAGGTGATAAAACTTTTGAACTAGTATAGTTTCCGATACCTCGAACCAATTTTTTGTGAAATTCGGATTGTAAAGATAGTTTATAACTTGGTTAGGCGTGTGCTCGAATTTATTAGAACCCATAGAATCAACATTAGGTCAAGCAAAGGACAAAACCAAATTACAGGTCTTCGCGAATAAATATCGCACGTACACGAAATTTTAGTCGCTTAGGAGTATGTGGGAGATGTTGTTTATGTTCTATTCTAGAACTTCGAATATCGCGGCGTACTCCAACCAAAGAATGTACGGTAAGTCTGAAATGCAATTGTGTACTCGCTGAGCAACACGCTAAGACAATATGGTGGAGGAACAGTACACTGTAACATCTAAACAAAAATAGTAACGACATCGAGCAAACCAGCTGAACACAGGTGCCTGTTTTGCTAGG